CGGCGGGGGTTTCACAGGTCAAGCGCTTCGTCTCGGCTCTTCCCGGTATAATTGCTGCAGTTGGCCAGGGGCGCCCCGCGTCCTCCCCGCCCCGTGGCTTCGTGGTGGAGCGAGGTGTCTGACTTGTCAGACCTCTGCCTTAGCCTGCCCCTGGGGCGCTTAGTTCCTGAATGAGTAAGGAAACTGTGCCCTAAATCTGCTCTGGTGCAAGGCAAGGTGAGGCCAAATGACCGGTTGAGGTGATTCACAGCGGAGTGTGAACGGAGCTCATGCGCTTTAAAGAAATATGTATGAAATTAACGTCTTGTACAAACTTCAGCAAATTAGCTGGCTTGCTTTCTTACTCTGCCCAGAGTTGAGAGGTGAATCTTCATTCCATGCCCTGCTTTCTCTGCCAAACATCATTAGTGTTTGAGATGCTGGTCCATTAACGCGCTAATTCACTGAGGAGTACATAAGCACAAAGTCCTGTTGGATATGTGCCTACAATCTTAGCCATGCCCTGAAGTATCTCAGCACTCTGCGCTTACTGATTTGAGAAATTCAGGTCTTTTTGTAAGGTGGATGAATTAGTTTGGTTTTCTTTGTAAAGCTGAGACAGTAAACACAGTTTGTGTGGATCAGTCTCAGTCTCTATATATTTACTGAACAGTATATCTGTCTACAGAGTGACCCATTACATGCTGCTTTAGTTTTGTGTAGAACATACTCCATTCGTGGTGGATCAGAAGGGTGTGTTTGCCATGCTGAGTTGTCAGCAGTAGGAAGGAAGTTTTTAGATAAATTTTGTATTGAAGGATAAGTGAATGAGATTGTGAGTGTATCTGTGGTAGGACTGCAAAATATAATGAGAGTAACATTTTTACTCTAAGACTGCTTTAGGTGTCACCTTTCAAAAGACAGCCCAAATGCAGCGTTGCATGTTATGAGTGTGCTGCAGTTGTGTCAGAGGCAGCAGAAGCGTAGCATTGGTGCACTCCCTGAGTTTGTCTCTTATTTGCTGTTCTGCTTATGGTCAGGCAAAATTTGTGCTTCTTGTATAGTCAGTTGTGCACCTGTTCTAAATAGGTGAGGATTATAGATCTTCATTAAAATACATGAACAATGGAGTTGCTAATGGAGAGATGGATCTACTCAGTTCTTGTCCCTTCAGATACTTTACATAATGGTTACAGTAACTGTGTAAGTGTGTAATAGAGGATTGATGTGTGTGACTGTGTTCTTTTCTTTCCCCACAGCACAAAGACCCTGACTCATTTCAGCCTAACTTACTCAACTGTGCTACAGTCACTAATACTAACTCATGTTTTCTGTTCTGTGTGTGCATATGTAGATATAGATACTGGTCCTCTAAAGAGTGGAAAGCTTTTATTGTTGTCCTTGTGTTTTGGAATTAATAACAGGAAATGTGTCAGGCCTTTTATCTGTCTTCCAGATGTTTTGATTGCAGCCTGCTCTTCGGCCATATGGCTGCCTCCTTCTCCTTGCTGGTTTTTTTTTGTGTCCTTCGAGGCAGTTTACTCACAGTGCAGAGGTGTTCTGTACCTGACTTTTGTATTTCCCAGTGTCAGTGGTCTACACATGTGTTAGATTTAGGACATCCTTCCAAAATTTGGTTTTTGTGTTGTGCAGGAGTGATGGATTGAGTTTTAGAGACTGTGGATGGTGTGTAGGCTGTGGCTTTTTCAAATTACTATGTGGGAGAAGAAGCCAGTAGTGTGTGGGAAGGCCAAGAACTTCTGCTTTCCAGCACACTTGTATGCAGATTCAAAGCCTCTGGAACATGATTAAGAGCTTGGTATTTTCTGGGTTATTAAATAAATATTTGTCACTGTGTGAAGAATTTGATTTAATTTCCGCAAAGTGGGACTGAGTGCAATAGCTGAAAAAAAGGTAAAATGTTTAGGAACGCTGTCAGTACAATTATTTCTGATTTTATTCACAACTGTTTACAAAAATAATGTAGTAGAATCTGGAAGATTAATGTAAAAAGATGGTTGATTGTTTGTTTTACAGAAAAAGATTTAATGAGTGTTTGTCGCAAATGACCTGAGATTTGTAGTTTGCTTGGGTGGCGTCCCAAATTTGGTGGCAGTTGAGAGGAATATGTGAGTTTTAGAGTACTTGGAATACATGACAATTAAAAGAAATAAGTGCTTGTTCTTAAGTAGAACTGAGTTTTAACTCAGCTGTAGTTGAAGTGTTTATTATCTATTTTTATTAATTTCACTGCTAGCTATAAAATAAAATTACCAAAAAAAATGCCATGTGGGATTGATGCAGTCTTCAGCCTCTGGAGCAGGTGGATAGCAGCATGTGGTGTTGTGTGACAACTTGTGGTGGTTGTCATGTTCCTGAGGACTACAGTGAGCTTCATTTTCTGACCTTCATGTAAAACCTAATGTTCAGTTCTAACATGCCTTCAGCTGGTTGAGTATGGTTGCCAGGAGTTTGCTGTGGTCAGATGTGCAACTGACATTTTAAGAAACAATTTATTTATTAGGTCTATTAAATCACCTTAGAAGGTGATTTTCTAATAAATTTCTAAAAATGTATGGTCACAGTGAAGAAGAATAGGGAAAGGATGATACCATCCTTTCTCTTTTAAATACTGTGATTTCCATGTTCTTCTTCTATTTTTTCCTTATTCCAACCCATTCTGTCCTAGTTAATGCTAAACTGTCACAGTCATTTGTTTTCTCATCTCTCCTCCTGGTAAAATATTTCAACTAGCAATGAGTCCTATATTATTATGCTTTTAATTCCTAGCTCTTCACTGTACATTTTGTCTTTCTTCTTACTTTTTAAAGTTTATTTCCATAACTTATTTTCAAATATTTCTTTGCACTGAGTTTTGTAATGCCTTTTTTTTAGATCACTAATGTTTAGAGGATCTTGGTCATGGTTATCTCTTTTGCCCTAACCCGAGCTCAGCAGAGTCCAAAGCGGAGACTGTGGGGCAAGTCCTTGTCTCCAGCAAGGAACATGTCCAAGTTGCATGACATTTTTAAGGGATCGAGACTATTGCTGGTTACTGGTTAGATGTCTCATAATTCCTTTTCCTTTCCAGAGGCTTGGAATTTGTTCAGATGTGGAATTCCCTGATCCCCTTCCTCTCTATCTTTTCTGTTTGGCAGGACCATTGTACTTGTGATGTAGTAGTGGATGTTTTTCAGTATAGCTACAGCAGGAAGGCAGAGTTAAACATTTGCTCAGAGAAGGAGCTGCTGATGCAAGCCAGGAGCATATACAGAGAATGCATTCCTTTGATCATGTGCTTTTATCAGTTTTATCACTTCTTTTGTGAAATGGTGGTAATGCATGCTGCTTAGAAGGCCTGCTTCAGTGAAAAGTTGCTCATTAGTAGTGCTACATGGAAAACAGGTTTGTGACTTTTCATGGAGCAAAAGGCACTGCTATGTTTCAAACGTTTACAGAGATTTTCATTTGCATTTTCCATTTGCATTTGAAAATTTAAATATAAAAAGAGTGTTTAAATTAATGTATGGGAAATAGTAAGAAATTGTGAGCTTTTTCAGATATTTGCAGCTGTAATTCATAGAAGTTTAGGTCTCAGGCACATATTTCCTCAACAACAATGAGATGCCGCCTTTAACAATAAAAACATGGTTTTTATAATTAAAAGAAAAAGCGTTAATGCAGGGTTAGAAGGATCTTTGAATGCTGATACTAGAAAATAAATTATCTCTTTTACTAATGGACCAGTGTGTCTGCAATACAAAACTGCTTCCACTGGGTGGCATTGTAAAACAAGGCATGACATACAAGCATATAATATTTGATAGCACAGAATATGCTGGTATCATTACTTTGCATATTTTTCAATTTTGTGAAGTTGCTTTAGTGTATTCAGGGAAATATATAAAAATAGAGGTGCTGTTTCAGGGTTGTTCCTCATCCTTTTTTTCCCTACTCTTCCCCAGTTCTGCTTCATAGTGTTTGGTGGCAGATGTAAGAAGACCTCTTTGTTCATTTAAAGTATAAATTCCTTGATTGAATGTTCTTTATTTAGAGCAGATTTTTTTTTTTTTTTTGCATTGCAGACTAGTCATTATAATAATATCTAGCTAGGGATCTTGCAGTAACAGTTAGGTTAGGGATGTGTTACTTCTGTTGATTCTTGTGAATTACTTTGTATTTAGTGCTTTTGCTTCTCAGTAAAGCATTGTTAGTGCAAATTTTTTCTTTAAATATGTTTAAACTATTTTGAGTCAAATTATTTAAATTATTTCTTTTAAAGCATGGATCTAATAGAGATAAATACAATTCTAGAAAAGTAGCATAGTTTTCTTTATACTGGTCCAAAATATCCTATGCAACTAGGGTTGTTGGGAGTTAATGTGGAAAGCTGAGATTTAGTTTATACAGTCTGCATACTTGCTTTCGTTTCTGATACGAATAACTGTGTATGAATCAGTTTTGCTGGGTTATCATGGTGCAGGTGTATTTATCAGAAATTTGAAAGAGACCACGTATCGTTCTGTTGCATAGCTGCCATTGACTGCTGCTTCTAAATTGAACCCAAACAGACTAGTGAACCCATTGATACTGGTGCATTAGTCTAACCCTTAAAAATCAAATAAACAAAAAATAAAACCAAACACCCAGGAAAAAAGTTAAAAATCATAAAATAAACCCAAACCAAACAGCAACAAATTGGAAAAAATCTTGACTTAACAACTAAATTAAAACTCATAGAACTGTGTAACTTGAGACTGAGTAAGGTGATGATCTGATTGAAGTATTTCTTCTTCTCCATTTATATTAACTTACCTTTCTCTGAATTTACTTTATTAAAAGTCTCTGTTTCTTTTCTCTTTTCTCCTTCATTTTTTTGCACTCAACTGTATTGCTTTTCTCTTTCTTTGAAAGACCGTCAAGAAACCTTGCATCTTGAAGGCAGTAGAAAGGAAGGAATAAATGAATTTCACCCTAGTGTAGAATCTTCTATAAACTAAGCACGTGGTTTGTGATAGCAGATGGCAGATTTCACTTGGTCACAGTATGGTTTTCAATTAGTGGAGAATGGCATAGGTTCTTTAATTGCTTAATCTTGGCAGGGCTATACATAGGTATAATACATTCGGAAAGCAGTTGGCTGCCTCATTTGAAGTGTTTCATGACAAGATAATACATATTTGTCAGATTTCCTAATTTCAAATCACCTGTGTATTGTATAGTTTCTGACTTCTGTTTATGGAATTAATTACATATGGCAATAATACAAGAGATTTGGATCTCCTGTTCCTGACCCCTTTTATTATTCAGGGCTTATCAGAACTACAGTCTAGAAAAATAAAGGACAGAGAGTTCATGTTCTTCCAGATTTTATAAAGTTGATCACCTTGCAATCAGCTAATCAATAGTTTATTGTTCCAAGAATCTTGGTGAAAAATTGTACATTTACTTTAGGAATCATCTAGTTTGGAGTATTTGGACTGTTTTTAGTTACAGTTCTGACAGGAACAACTTAACTAGGGGAGTAGGGAGTGAGAAGTGGAGAAAGGAAGCCTTACCATTTCAGGGGGTTTGTGCTAAAAAAATCTTTACATGTTTCTGCATGTACATTCTGCATGTATATTCATGTATATTCTATATATTTCATAGGATCAGCTATACAAGAAGTAGATTATATGTGCTTGGTTTCGCTGATAATAATTATCCTGGGTTATATTTGGTTTGGCCTTTAATTGTTTACAAAACATTCATGTCATCTCTTGTGTCGGGAAAAATATCTCTGTGATAAAGCTTGGTTACACAAACAACTTTAAAACTCATTTTCACAATATACTCTATTTTTTTGCAGTGTAATTTAGAGAAAACATTCTAATTAATTAAAGTAGGAATTGGAATGAGTAGCAGTCCTTACCATTAAGACAGGTGTATTTTCTTCTCCTTTGTTGATAGTCTAGCTTGTTTTGAAGGGCCATAGCTTGTGGAACAGTAATTTGTTAATTGCAGAGGTACAGAAATCCCTCCTGTGTGGTGAATATGAATAATGATTTGATCTGGGTGGAATTAAAACTGCTGGTTTGCAAATATCAACAGTGATTAGGAGACTAATTGCTAATTACACTGTCATTTTGCAAGCATTTTGTACAGTGTGACTGGATTTTTTATTAATCAGGCAGCATAATCTTGCATAGTTTCCTAAAGCCACTGTTACGTTAATAGCCAGTGTCTGTGACAGGGTCTGTTCTGAGCCATACAGGGATTATCTGGTTGTTGAGCATGTGATAGCTGTGCAGTGGCACTGATGGTACTGCCAAATGAGCTGCTCTTTGCAGGAATTGGTATTCTGCCACAGTAAACTACTTCTGCTGCAGTAGGGTTCAAGTAGATGCTAAAGAAGAGGCAGAAGTCTGAGTGCTGCTGCAGAGAGTTGTGAATGGTCCCTGGTACGGGGTGGGATGGAAGTGAAATACTGGAAATAGATTTTCTCTGTTTCTGAGCAGAAAAGGGAAGAAAGTAGAAGTTGAAAAATTAGGAGCTACAGTCTGCTATGAGTAGGATTAGCCTTGAGGTGCATATCACATACTCTGGGCTTGAGTGCTCATTATCATAGACTGACAGTTTACTTGTAACTTGCTAAAGGAATTTTGTTGGGTGAAGTTCAAAATAAGTTCCCTGCAGGAAAGCTAAGAATCCTGGGTTGACTATGCTGGAGAGTGAAATGGAATTCTGGTCTATCTGAGACTATTTACAGAACGACAGACTAAACTTCTGCTAATGTATTTTGAAGTGTTTGAACTGTAGCTGCTGCATCTCTGTATAGATACAGAATAGGAGGAAAAACATAATTTAAATAAAAGCTGCACATAATTTAAATAAAAGCTTCACATAATTTAAATAAAAACCTGGTTAGTCTTCAACAAATAATCCGGTCCTGATTACTGATTGCTATGTAGAGGTTTTCTATTTGGACAAATCTTGCTTAAGTGAATGACTGTAGGTACTATGCTTCTTGCCTTGAAGATGGTATTCTAGAATACTAGAATGGCCACTGAATAGCCATTCTTTGCAACCTCTTTTAATTAGAAAAACTTAGTCTGAAATTTTTATGGTATCTTAGACATTTCTGGAAATTTCAGCTTCAGTGAGTGTGCTAAGAACATGGTGGGGGGTTGTTGTTTGTTTGCTTTTGATTTTTGTTGTAATTTTGTTTGGTGGGGGTTTTTTTGTTTTTTTTTTTTTTTGAATTTCTGAGAACTAATTCTTCTTTGTACTGTTTTAATCTTTTGCCTTACAAGTGTTGGTATGGTAGCTCAGCATTTAAGAGCATGAAACCCATGTGGTTATATGGAATATTTCTTATAGCTGCTGTTTTCCTAGAGTTACTATAGATCAGACTTTTGTCCCCTTACTGCAATACAAAGTAGGTTTGACATTGTTGCATGTGTGTTTCATCCTGTGAAGGTTATTGATAAATTGGACCTCAACACATGCTGGTGAAAGACGCGGTGGAGGGGTATTGGGTTTGCATGTCAAGGTTTTGGTAACAGGGGGATTACAAGGGAAGGTTTCTGTGAAAAGCTGCTGGAAGCTTCCCTCATGTGTGACAGAGCCAATCCCATCCAGCTCCAAGATGGACCTGACACTGGCCAAGGCTGAGCCCATCAGCCATGGTGGTAGTGCCTCTGGGGTAGTAAACTAAAAAAGTATAAAAAGCTGCTGCACAAGAACTGCAGCCAGAGAGAGGAGTGAGGCTGTGTGAGAGAAACCACTCTGCAGACACCAAGGTCAGTGAGGAAGAAGTGGAAAGAGGTGCTCCCAGTGCCAGAACAGAGTCCCCTGTGGTGAAGACCATGGAGATACAGGTGATCTCCTGCAGCCATGGAGGCCCCTAGGGGAGCAGAGATCCACCTGCAGCCTGTGAAGGACCCTGTGCTGGAGCAGGTGGATGCACCTGACTGAGGCTGTGATGGCATGGAAAGCCCATGCTGGAGCAGGCTCCAGGTAGGACCTGTGATCCCATGGGGAGAGGAGTCCACACCACAGCAGGTTTGGTGGCAGACTTGTGACTCCACTGGGCACCCACACTGGTGCAGTTTTTCCTGAAGGACTGGGACCTGTGAAAGGGAGCCACTCTGGAGCAGTTTGTGACAAACTGGAAAGAACTCACCTTAGAAAAGTTTGTCAAGGACTGTCTCCTGTGGAAAGGACTCCTTGCTGGAGCAGGGCAAGAGAATGAGGAGGAAGGAGAAGCAGAGAGGTGCAATGAACTGATCTCAACCTCCATTCTCTGTCTCCAGTGCCACTGGAGAGGGGAGGACAGAGTGACCAGTGGGAGTGAAGTTGAGCCTGGGAAGAAGGGAGGGTTGGGGGGTAATGTGTTTTAAGATTTAGTTTTATTTCTCATTACTCTGGTCTGATTGGCAGTAAATTAAACTAATTTCCCCAGCTTGAGTCTGTTTTTCCTGTGACAGTAATAGGTGGGTGATCTCTCCTTGTGCTCATCCTCTCTTGTGAGCCTCATGTTTTCTCTTCCCTGTCCAGCTGAGGAGGGAAGTGACATGTGGAGTGGCTTTAGTGGGCATCTGGCATCCAGCCAGGGCAAACCCACCCCAACAGGCCACTGTAAATGGTAATGGTGATGAGATAATCAAAGCAAATTGCTGCAGTGGCCTTCAGGGTGGATGACTTGCTTTCCAAGTTTATGGGGAAATTTTAAACTATGTATACATCATGTATTTTTTTTCAAATAAAGCATACCTACGGAAGAATTATATTTAAATTATTAGTTTGAATTTTAAATTACTAAATTGCAAATAAATAATTGTTAAAATAGTCTTTTTCTTTTCCCTCCAGCTGTAGCAGAAGTGCAGCTTCGTGATGATCAATATACCCTTGACCACATGCGTGCTTTTGGCATGTATAATTATCTTCACCTTGATTCCTGGTACCAAGATAATGTCTACTATGTTGATCAGTTTGGAAGGGTTATGAATCTGTCAGTGACTCTGGTAAGAATAAAATCTTTCTTTTTTTTTTTTTAAACCATTGGATTGGAAAAAATGGGAGCAGATGAGATAAAAAATATTACAAGTAGGATCCAAATGCACAAATTGTGGGAAGCTATTGCCATGAAGATAGGTGGAAGATATTTCAACAAAAATGCATTTCACCAGGAAGAATAAAAGGATTTTAAGTGAAGTCTCTGACTTCTTTATGTTAATAATATTGCATTAGTATTGCTACAGTGTGTGTTGCAATAGCCCTGTACCCCTGCTTAAGGGGACAGGAGCACTCAGGAGTAGAAGATGCTTGTGGCCAAAAGGAAAAACAAAAGCCAGAGGATTCAAAAAAGCTTACAGAGGTTTTTTAGTGAATTACACATTTGGTATGGAGATTGAAATATTAGTCCCTGACCTCCTAGTACAAACACAGAGCAGTGGGCTGATGGGATGTTCAGGGTCCTGGAGGTGCTGCCTGGGCTTGGTAGGGGTACTTGTTTATGGGTCAGTTTCTCCACTTGGAAAATAGGTGACTCACTTTCTACACACGTTAGTTATCACGTGAAGTTTGTTCTTTCAGTCCCTTCTGGAAATAGGTTGGAGGGCTTAGGGGGTCTCTGGTGGTCCTATCTCCCCCTTGCAGTCCATGTCCACATCCACTTCTCCACATTGTTCCTATATGCATGTTGTACTGTGCTGTGCTTATCTCTAGGAGCCAGAACAAGGACATTTGTCCCAGAGAAGTGCTGTCTTACCTCTGTGTGGCTCCTGTCTCCAGCCACATCCTGTTCTTTCTTACAGTATGTTATTACCAACAAGCCTTGGTTGAGTCCACAGCCTATGGCTATCACTGCTGGAGACATACACATTAACTCTTTTCTTTTAGGCTTCTACATAGTGGTGCATCTGCTTCCATTCTGGGCAAGATGGACATGATGACAAGCTGAAGGAAAGGGAGATGCTTTTTCTCTAGTTGCTTTTCTCTTTCTCCCTGGTATTTCTTGATGTTTGTTTGCTAGCTTGAAATTTGTGAATTTTTGTGAATTTTCTATTGCATATTGTATACGCGTTAGAATTAGAAATACTTAATCTAGACATCATTTGTTGGAGGCAAAAAGATGCTGGTGGCCATGACGGAAGTTGAAATAGTATAAGCAAGTTAGACCAAGTCTGAAATTTCTGCTTTAATACTGGTGGTCCTAAGTAATCAGTAATTCTTTTAAGCCATTTTAATGCTTGGATGCTTTCGTTTCCTTTACAAAACTATACTTCATTTCAGAGAGAGAAGGGCATGGTTCTATGGACACCACGTGTCTGGCACATACAATTGTAGTGCTTAGGCATTAAGAAGGAAAAGACTGTGTGGAAAGGAGGATGCCTACTGTCATACTACCTGAGTTTGACTTGTAGCCCTGTCAGAAAAAAGAAAACACAGGCTATGTGTGGGTTTTTGAGAGCATGTGGCATAGCCTGTGCATGGTTCTGGGGACAGAAATTACTAGATCAGGGCTAAACTAAGAAAAATTCTGAAACTGTAGTTTTAGGTTTTCAGGAAATAAAGGTTTCCAGAGCATGGTAGGATGAGAACTGAAGGTGCAAAATATTCCTTTCCTTTTCATAGTATGTAGCAGTTGGAGATTTTGGCAGACTCTTACTGTGACAAAATAATCTTCTAGGACTTCTTCCAAAACTTTTGAGATCATCTGGATTCCTAGTAGAAACAGCTAAAAGAAAGCCTTAACAGTGGCTTGTCATAATCTTGTTTCTTGTTTTATCCTTTGAGGTTGGTTAACTGTGGTTTGCTGCTGGATGCCCACCCAAACACTCTCTCACTCCTCCTATTCAACAAGATGGCAAGAAAAAAGGAGAGAAAAGCTTTTGGATGAGGATAAAACCAGGGAGATCACTTACCAGTTACCATGATGGGCAAAACAGACTTGACTTTGGGGAAAATTATTTAATTTATTGCCAATCAGGACTAGTGTAGGATGATAAGAAAGAAGGTCACACAAAGCTTGTACCAGGAACAAGCTCCGTTGTTCAGAAACTTGTACTTGCTCCACTGTGTGCTTGAGCAACAATGTGGATATCTGTCCCCTGTGGGTGTCAGGAGGACAGCCTGCTTTTCCATGGTCTGCTCCAAGGGCTGCAGACAAACCTCTGTTCCACACCATTGGCTTGGCTGCAAGCTCAGCTGTCTGCAGTGGAGAGTGCAGTGGAGCCAGCTGGAAGTGGCTGTGTGTGCACTGGGCAGCCCCGGCCCCTCCTCACTGAGGCCACCCCTGCAGGTCTGCTCTGCGTGCACAACACAGACACACACTACATTTCCTTTACGAGAAAGGCACTCTGTGTAAATCTATTTCTTAGCAGATAAAAGATTTTACAGCAGCCTATAAATTGAGACAAGAAATATTCTTCTCTAGGACCTATTTCAAGATAATGGCATTTGATTAATATCTGGTGGTCACAAGTTTTGGTTCCACCTGAAGGGGAAAATAAAACTAATTAAGCTGTGAAATAAATAGACACCATCTTGTGTCCCAATACATGATACTGTTCTGTTTGGTAAAGGAAACATGTTTGCATATGAATAATTCCTTTGAATTTGTGTTCAGAAACATCAACAAGGTGTCTTGTTACAAATGTGCCCAGCCGTATATTAGTCAAATGTATATTAAAAATAGCATTGGTTTTAGACAAGTACAGCTCACAATTAAAATTAATGCCAGTCTTCTTTAAAACAGAAGATGGAACAGGTTGATGAGTTCATCCTAGAATCAGAGTGAAAGAGCACATAGACTTTCTAGCACATCATTATTTCTAGTTCTATTTCTTATTTTGGTTGCAGCTTTGATTCTAATATGACAGTGTGTTGGTTATCATATGTCATGAATTATCCCTGCAACTTTGGTGTTTAAAAAGATGTCATCTGTGAAGGAAAAGAAGTGCATATAACACCTTGCCACTTGCTCAAAATCACACATAATTGAAAAAAGAAAGTGATCAACACAAGCAGTTCTTCTGTGTTGATGGATGGGGATTCAGGTGGGTTTTTTATGCCAGACTGAGGAAATTGTTACTCTTAACTTGGCTGGAAATACTGTATAATAGCTTTAACCTCTTGTTACAGCTGTTGGACTTTTTTCAATTGGTATGCCAGCAACAATCAGTACTTTGCTTTAAACACCCAATGGGCAGGGTAGTGACAGGATTACTGACCTGAGATTTTTTAATTGGTCAGGTTTTTATGCAACTCTGTTGATTGCTTGGTGTTTGTAGCATTCCAGTATAGCTGCAAAACATTCAGGTTTCTCCTTAAGCAGTTGGACTTGGTTTCTTGACCTTAAAGTTCTTGCAAAGACAACTTGGTTTCTTTTTATGCTCAGATAAACAAATTGAAAAATTGTATAGGAAACTCTTTTCACACCTAATTAAAATCCTTAATGAAATACATATTTTCATATCTTTAAGTTCCAATAAGAGTTAGCTATGGAATACTGTTTCTGTAACTTTCAGTTAACTTCAATTCAGAACAACTGTTAGTGGCACCAGACGCAATGTAGGAATTCTATTTCAAACAAGTCAGAATAAGAAAGCTGATAGAGAACAACAAAATCTTTCACTGTTGTGTTTAATGGTGTTAAATACACGTCTCCTTGTTATTCAGAATGCTGGATATTCATTCTTTTTTTCAGTTAAAGAGATGTGTCAAATGCTTAGGTATTTTGATTTTTCATAAAAACATAGTCTTGTATTTGTTATTTCTACTTTGTGGGAATTGCCATATGACTTACAGCTTTTATTTATTCCTTTCTTTTTTATTCCTTTATTCCTTTCTCATTCCCAGTTGCTTCCTTGAAAAAGTGAATTTTTATTTTAAATCTTTTATAAAATATCCCATGTTTGTACAGTATCATCATTTAGCCCCAGCTGACAACTAAGTATAATGCAGCTGCTTGCTCACTGCTGCTCCTCCATTCTCAGTAGGATGGGAAGGAGAACCAGAAAAGGTAAAACCCACAGATTGAGGTAAGAACAGTTTAACAAGTTGTATAAAGCAAAATATAATAATAATAACAACAAAAGTAATAACTATAGTGAAAGAGAGAGAAATAAACCAAGGGAAAAAAAAGTGATGGACAATACAGTTGCTCACCAGCACTGAGCAATGCCTGAGCAGTGCTGAGTTGTTTTAGCCAGTTCTTGCTGGTATAATACATGGCTACAGACTCTCACCATCCCCTCATGCTTCTAAAGCAGGGAGTTACTATTACCCCAGTTAACCACCTAGTGAACAAAGAAACTCTGTCAAAAAGCTAATTGACACAATGGGATTCTAATCTGACACAATGAGATTGATAGGAGGTTTTGTTTCATCTTCAAGGAAGTCCATCCTTTTCATTGTCAAAATGAGATTAGAGACTGTTCTTATAAATGCCTGAAGTTAAATTAGTGAACAGAAAGGTTGTGAAGATTATTTCCTTTCTTGCCAATTGAAAGGAAATTTTTAAGGCTTTGTAGTAAAGATCATTTTTCATTTTTTTTAGGAGATTGAGTTCTGAAAATTCCCGCTCAACGCTGATGAATCTGATGTGAGCTTTAGAAGATTAGGTAGTTGATAATTTTTTATTTTAATTGCATCCGAAACTATTTGAAGCTTACTGTTAAAATTCACTTGAAGGCTGACAGAAATGTGGTCTTTTGTAGTTTTATACAGTATAGCCCTGTAGTCACTGTTAAGAGGAATGATGCTTCCTCTTTCTGTGATAAGATACAGAGGATTTTGACTTTTTTTTCCTAGGCTCAGTAATCATTGCTAGTTATAATGGAAAACTTTTCTACTTCATAGGAAAAAAATGCCTTTCAGTGAAATCTAAAAATTAAATAAAATGTGAGGAAGCCAAAATTTATTGTATCTCGTGATTGTGTGATATTTGTTTGGGTTGTGGTTTTGGTTTGTTTGGGATTTTTCCTTTTAATTCTTTCATTCTCCCTTTCTGAATATATTATAAATTAGCAGAATAGTCCAAGGGGTGCAGGGATACAGCTGACACCACAAACTGACCCTGAATGCTTCTAATAATTAAAAATTTGTGAATTTTCCATTGCAGGTTTCATAATCTTCTTGTAGCACACAGTAATCTCTAATATGAATTTAAGTAGACCCAAAAGGCAGGCTGTCTGTTTGTTATCTGGTCTTTTTTTGCTGTTGCTTATTGAAATGGTACTTACTACCCAAATGCAGTTTCTCTTGCTTACCTTTGAGCATGTGTTAGGTGCACATCTGATTTTAGTAACATCTGGAAAATAGGAATGTTGTGAAATGCCCTCAAAGGCAGGATTGTTAATAAATGAGGCCACTGCACACTTTGCATGCACAGTGTGCTCTCTCTGTGTTGCATTCATGTGCCCAAGTGCAAATTGGCACGTGACTCTTTTGGAGATGGTCCTGTGTATGTATATTTTTGCCTGCCTTGTTTCACAGAGCAGAATGAGTAGGTTTCTTTTGCTAGAAGCAGATTATTTTCCCCAAGCTACTGATTGTTTGAGTGAAAATAGAAGGACAGAAGATGTTTAAATGATTTATGGCTGAATCTTTGAGGTCTATAATGAGAGACAGTTTTAATCTTGAATGTTTTCACTGCTATTTCTTGGTGTCATGCCTTACCATGTTAAAAATGGACCTGAGACTAAGAAACATTTTGTGTCACAGAATCAAAATTACTTGTTTCCCACTGAGGTTGTCAATACAAAAGTACTCTTCTGTTTGTGCTTCCTTTTACATACTTGTCAATATCTTCAAAACTGTCTCTGTGATATTTTTCAAATTTTGTTTTTCTATTTTTCCAAGTACATTTCTTTGTAAATATATTTTTATCTTAGTGACAGCAATGCTGATTTTTAGTAATGAGGGAAGAATTTTCCTCTTGTTAAAAAATCCCTCTGATTTGTGAACCTTCAGAAATAATTGTAGATCAACTGACTGGAAATGAGCCTAGTAAAATGAAACAAAATATAGTTTCATTGGTTCTATAACCATTTTTTAGTTTCATTGGTTCTATAACCATTTTTTATGTTTTCAACATGGTCTATTTGTTGTTGGATTAAGAAGATAGATGTGGTTTAAAAAGGGATTATCTCTTAAAGATCAGTCAAGCACCTCTTTTTTTTCAGAAATAATTTTATCGTTCAAATACATGTGGGTACACTAGCTTGTAAAATACCTATGAAACCCGTTTTATCTAATTTTGTTTCATATATGATACATATATATAAAAAACACTCTGTAAATTAGGGGAAACAACCATAACTTCCTGAGAAATGTTCCCCCAAAGATACAGAAAAGAACAGGAATTGTTTTTGTTTGTTATTACTGGAAGACGTCTTTGAAGAGTGCAGATCAGATTCTGCAGTCTATGAATCTGTAAGAGGGACAAGGTGGTGAATATGGTGTGGGTTTGGATTTTTTAAATTATATTTTTTGTTTATTTTAGAATCTTAGAACAGCCCAGATGAAGGGATCTCAAAAGATCCTGTAGTCCAAGCTTTCATGGTGAAAGGAGCCTAGATGAGGTTATCTAGCACTCTGTCCAGTTCTGTCTTGAAAAACTCCAGTGGTAGAGTTTCTGCCATGTCCCTGGGGAGGTTGTTCCAGTCACTCCAGATTGTTCTCATTATAAAAATTTCTCTTATGTCTAGATGAAACCTCTTCTAATGCAACTTTTAGCTGTTGTCCTTTGTCTTCTCTATGTGGCTTCTTGTGAAGAGAGAGCTCCTGATCTGTTTGTGGCTGCCCTGGCACACTGATGAGGTCTTCCCTGAATCCTCTCCAGGGAGACGAAGCCTAACTCCTTCAGTCTTCTCACACAGGGGAGATTCTCCAGTGATTTGATGGTGTTCATGGCTGTCCTTTGCACCTTTTCCAATCTCTTCATGTGTTTCAACATTACTCCAGGTGGGGCCTGACAACCACTGGGTAGAGTGGGATGATGACCTCTCTTGTCTCTGCTAGTGATACTTGTGCAGATGCAGCCCAGGATCCAGTTTACCTTTGGTGCTGCAGCATTGCCCTTCTGGCTCATGGTCAGCTTGTTATCCCTGTGTCCCTCAGGTCCCCTTCATCAGGGTTTCTCCCTGCCATAGAGATCCTGGCCTGTTCTGAGCTCTCTGGTTGTTCCATTCCAGGTGCAGGACTGTGCTTGTCTTTGCTTATTTTCCCAGTGTTCTTGCTGCCCCACTCTTCCAGACTCTCTGGCTCTCTGTGCCACATGTGTTTCCCATGTAGGTACCCATGTCTACCTCATCACCTAGTTCAGTGTCATCAGCAAATGGGGTGAGGGGGCTTTCAATCCTATCATCCAGGTACTTTATGAAGATGTTCAGTGTGTGGGGCCTGGTGTCAATCCCTGAGGGATCCCACTTGTGACAGACTGCCAGCCCATGTTATTTAACAGCTTCTTAGTTCAGTTGAAAAACTTCAAATGATTACGTTCTATTTCAGTTATTTAACACATTATAGAGATGTGACTGTGATGTTGCTGAATGTCCAGTTTCCCTCTTCTTTTTTTTCTGTGAGAATGTTTTATTTGTGCTCTTAATACTGCCACCTGATCTATTTTATAAGTAGCTGATCAAGCTGTATTGCTAATAAAGCATGTCCTGACTGTTTTTTAAACTGTGAAACCCAAATTATTTTCAAATCATAAAGATTTTGTTAGAGTTTTCTTTTAACCTAACAAGCTTCTTGGGTATTCAGAGATTACTTCAACACAAAAAATGGGGGTAAATCTTAATCCTTTGCAGGCAGCAGCATGGCTGACATTCCATGAGCCAAATAATGAGCAGAAAGTCAGTCACAAAGCCTTATTCAGCAAAGAAAGAGCTGTATGTGAGAGTGAAGGCAGAAGATAAAGAATAATCCTTAAAAGATATGCTGGAAGACATGCCACTGTACTTAATGAAAACAGTTGGAAATCCAATTTTCAGCATGAAAGCAGGTTTTTTTTTTCTGTTAGAATTATCAGGAAATTAAGAACACCACACAGAACTAAAGCAAGACTTATGGGAACAATTACTATAAATACAGATGAAATTGTTAATCTAACATCCATTTTGCACTGTTATTGAATCAAGCTGATTTGTGTAATGTTAACAGAGTAGGAAATTGATTTCTTTTTGTAAAATGTAGTGGTATGCATAATTTTTTTTAAATGTGTATGTGTTGATTGTTCACTGAAGAATTATGTCATCTGTGCGATTTGTTCACCTTAGTGTCTCTGTTTATTCCTGCTCAAAAGCTATCTGTAGTTCCGCTTTAAAAAGATTGCAGTGTGGCACTGCAACAGGATGCCAGATAAGCTTATCCTGACATGTAGTGGAATCATAGAATTGTTTAGGTTGAAAAAGCCTTTTAGGATCATTCAGTCCTACCTGTCACCCAGCACTGCTAAGTCCATCACTAAACTGTGTCCCTAAGTGCCATATCCACACATCTTTGAAATATATCCATTGATAGTGACTGCTTGCACCAACTACCCTGGGCAGCCTGTTTTATACAGTTGTTTCCTTCTGTTGAGAAAATTTTTCCTAATATCATCTAAGCCTCTGCTGGAGCAACTTGAGGACATTTCCTCTTGTCCTGTCACTTGTTATTAGTGAGAAGAGACCAACCTTTACCTGGCTACAACCTCCATTCAGGTCGTTGTAGAAGACCAATAAACTCCTCCCTGAGCCTTCTTTTCTCCAGGCAAAACAACCCCAGCTCCCTCAGCTGCTCTGCTCCTCATAGGATTTGTGCTCCAGATCCTTCCCAGCTCCATTGCCCTTCTCTGGACACACTTCAGCCCCTCCATGTGTTTCTTATAGTGCGGGGCCCAAACATAAACCCAGGACATGAGGTGCAGCCTCACCAGTGCCCAGCATAGAGGGACAGTCACTCCTCTAATCCTGCTGGCCACGCTATTTCTGATACAGGCAAAGATGCCATTGGCCTTCTTGGCCACCTGGGCACACATTGGCTCATGTTCAGATGCTATTGACCGGCGTTCCTGGTCCTTTTCCACTGGGCAGCTTTCCAGCCACTCTGCCACCAGCCTGTGGTGCTGCCTGGGGTTGTGACCCAAGGGCAGGGCCCAGAACTTTTCCATATTGACCCTCATACCACTGGCCTTGGCCTATCAGTCCAGCCTGTCCTGACCCCTCTGCAGAGCCTAAATACCCTCCAGCAGCTCAACACTCCTGCCCAGTTTGGTGTCTTTTGCAAACTAAGTGAGGATACCCTCAAATGTCTCGTGCAGATGATTGATAGAAATATGAGACAGGACTGACCCCAATACTAAGACCTGGGGAACACCATTTGTGACTGGCCACCAACTGGATTTCATTCCATAGTATAATAATAATAATAATAATAATGTTGTGATAAAAAAGTTATTTGAAAATGTGGTAGGAATTAGCACAGCTTTTTGTTGCTGGCTAATCATAGGTGTTCTCTTAACTTACTGAATAAAGTGACCACTCTAGAAAAGCTGAGAAATTATATTTGACAGTTGTGCAACAGACTAAGCTAAAATTATTTTAAATTTACAGGTGAGTTTTATGTACTAGTTTGAGTACAATTCTGTGGCTTTCATTTCTTTTTAAGTCTCCACATTTTTCCTGGGTCTAGAATTATTTGAGGTAAGTGATTGTTATATAGGAATGCTAGGGGAAAATTAAAGCCTTTTCTAATGCAAAATATAGTTACTGCTTAAAATTGAAGAAAAAGAGTGCTGAAGTACCAGTTAGAAAACACTCATAGAATTCAATTTGATGAATTTCCACCACCTTTTCCGCATAAAAGAATTATGTGAGAATTATGCTTGCTGCCCACTTTTTTCCAAATATGCTCAATGATGCACAAAACTGGTACATTGCTACTGAGATTTATTATTCTTAATTTGCCTGTAATTTTTACTGAAATTAATAAACACTTCATAAAGTCTTAGTTCATGACTGTTTGTTTATAGGACACTGCTCTGCAAAAACCAAGAGAAGTTTTCAGGCTACCTACAGACTTGACTGCGTGTGATAATCGCCTTTGTGCCTCAATGCATTTCTCATCCTCCACGTGGGTTACCCTCTCTGATGGTACAGGAAGACTGTATTTAATTAAATCAGGCAAGCGTGGAAGCAGTGCATCTGAAAAGTGGGAGGTATGTCCTGCAATAAATAACATATTTAGGAACTGTAGATATATCCCTGTCAAAGTTATCTAGCTACATTAATAACAGTGTTCGTTATTCTGCTTGGACACAGCAAATACAATTGTTACATTTCTGCCTGAAGCTGTGAGTCTCATGGTCTGTGCTTAGTTCCTTTTTGTTTATGAAGATGAATCTGGTAAAAAGTGCCTGCATTTTGTATCTGTTTTCTTTACTAGAGGGTAGTTTCCTAAGAAACCACAGATGTTTTAGTATTGACAGAAATGTAGGTGTATATACTGAAGTGGAAGATTTCAACATGATGGATTAGCTCCTTTCTCTACATCTTTTGAGAGTTCAGTAAAGGAAATTGATCATCCTTTTTTTAGATCCTTGGTAATAAATACCATCTGGTTTTTATTCTGTGTGAGAATGCTGACACATAAATAAGTTACATTGAAGTTGTCAGTGTAACAAAAATACAAGGTTTATATTTGAAGTTCTGTCATCATTTAAGTTGACTTGTTGAGTATATACAGCGTGCAGTGGTTTAGAGTTGTTTAGAGTAATATCACAACCCTATAAATCATCAAACTTAACAGGTTTCAGTAACTGCCAGATTGAGTCTACACTCATTCAACTGCTGCAGCTTGAATTCTTTGTAATTTATTCTTTCATTTGCTCTTTCATTTTCATGTGCTAATCTTCTAGCAAATAATGATTCTTCTTCTCTGTTGTTCGGATTAATTTTGTTTTTATCTTCAGTGTTTTGCTGAATGAGTACTTTTTTAAAAAAGCTGGAATACATGGTTTTTAGATTTAAAACTTCCAGCTATAGGTACCAAATGTTTCATGCTATAAGATATGGAGTCCTTCTGTATAAAATTAATGAAATAATTTTCATATTATATAAATAATTTTTGTGAATTAATGAAATCTATAACTTTAAATTCATAATTAATGACATTTTATATTCACAGTGGTGCCTAATAGCCTTTCAGTATGACAGTAATATTCTGCCTGCCTGATTCAAATATTGGAGGGACTTTTCCAATCCATGTACATTAATAAAAATTCAAGAACTTCTACCCTAGCTTCTTCTGAACATGGATATTATTCTCCTTCATTTCATTATAGCTTTTTGTTTCTTACTTTATAGAGGAGGAAAATGGGATCTCTTGCAAAGCTAAATAATGGCACATTTGGTGATTAAACACTGGCAATGATGCTTTGGACCTTTGTCTTCTTCTTTCCTTGAAGAAGACATAAAAGTCCTTAATGGCCCTTTCCTTCTACATTCCTTGACATGTAGACATGTCAAGGTCTACAAAGATTTTCAGAACGTTGGAGTATCTAGAGAGCTAGTGAGAGCCTTGGGGAAGTGCCTGCATTTTCATCTTGAATGTGAGACTGTTTGCCCAGTTGATAGGCAATGTTTATGGACCTCTTGTTCTCATCAGTTGCTGTACCTCTGTTTATTGCAGTGCTAAACAGCCACAATGCAGATAGGTTTGGGGATCTTTGTGCTTTTTTTAATGGGCTCTTATAATGGCTGTTCAATATAAACAATAATGTTTAAAAACATTTCAGTACAGTAGCTTGATAACCACAGAAGGAGGAACCAGAAATGTGTGACATTTGTGGGTTCTTGTTGGCAGAGAGATTTGTGGAAGACAAACTGTTACTAATTTGACATTCACCAAAACCCTTCCCTGCTTTCTATAAAAGAGCAATGCTTCCTGCTTTAACTGTCTGACTTTTTATTATGTTTTTGTCTTCTAGATTGTGTTTAATGAAGAACTAGGAAGTCCATTTATTGTAGCACACAGTGTTTCATTTGTGAAATCTGATGCACACTCACTAGCTGTGCTGCTGCTTAGGATAGAAAAAGATGAACTGGATACAAAAGGGAGTGGATTTCATGTTACTTTGGAATGGGTTACAATTGCAGAAGGAAAAGAGGGTAAGTGTTTTACATTTATATTACTGGTGAGTAATGTTTAAGAAAATAAAAATGTTATCTAGTCCAACTGCCTGACCAGTTAAAGCCTTGTTAAGAGCGTTGTCCAAATCCTTCTTAAACACTGTTAGATGGGGCTTTGACCATCTCTCAAGGAAGCCTGTTCCAGTGTTTAACCACCCTCTCAGGAAATAAATGTTCCTGATGTCCAGTCTGAACCTCATCTGGTGCAGCTTTGAACCATTACCTATGTCCTGTTACTGGATACCAAGAAGAAGAGCTCAGCATTTCAGTCTCCACTTCCTCTCCCTAGGAAGACGGTACAGCAATGAGGTTGTCCCTCAGCCTCATTTTCTCCAAACTAGACAGGCTTGAAGTCCTCACCTAGTCTTTACAGGACATTTCTTTCCAGACCTTTCACCAGCTGTGTTGCCCTCAGTGGCTTTAGTTGTTTCCTGCTGTTGAAACCTTGGATGATGGAAGTATTTCTCAGAAAGCCACACAAGACTAACTGCCTTATGCTTTTGTGGCAAGCTCAACAAGAGAAAGAAACCTCTGAACATTACTGTTTATAATTTAGAAGAAAAACTAAATCAGTAATACTGTCAGTATAGAACTGAAGACTGTTACTCATGAGAGCACCAACACAGACTTTTATTATATTTTTTAATACTGTACACTTTCATAAAAAAATCTCTTTTACATTGTGTGTTTTATAACTTACAACAGATATTCTTGGAATCCCTAAAAGTGGTTTTAAAAATCTTTCAAAAAGTCTTGCCAGTTCTCCATCATTTCCAGGGAACAAAAAATGTTTGAAGTGACTGTCAGTAGAGATGCAAATAACAAAATTCAAAGCAATCTTTAATTATGAAGAGAGAAATAATTTTTTAGTTCATTTAAACAAACATCTCACAAATCAGACTGATGTATGAACCAGTCTCAAAGATAAAAGCTGTTTTGAGGAATTACAATACTCTACAAAATCTTTCATCAGTAGTCAATTGCTGTTGCTTGCCTTTTCTTGAAACTCTCTCTGTGAATGCAGTTTATCGAATCAGATTTTAGTAAAAGTAAGTAGTTAAGCAACAAACCATTTCTTAAATTACCAAAATCTGTGCTTCATCAAAGCAAAGCCTTAAAACATGGGTCTATCTCTTGACACCAACAAATGTGAGATCTCTGCCCTGCTTGGCAGACTGGACAGAGGGATCACACTCACCACTATTGTGTTACCAAAGAGCAGAAGAATGAAAATAAGTCAGAATGGGGGCAGTGGTTAGGTCTTTTCATATCTTCTGTGGTACTTCAGAGGACTGTAACAAAGGTGTACCCTTCCAAAGCTGGTTTTCTTTCATTAACCAAACTTTTTAGGAATACTTGCCATAAAAGCTTGAAATGAGGAACTACCATTCTGCCTTATGAGATTCAGAAAATGACATGCTTAGCTTTCTTCTGACCTTCTCTACAATAAAAATATTATTTGTACAGAGGATGTGCTGGGCTAGCTGTGATCAGCAAAGACATTGTAAGAATAAAATTCAGATTAATCGAGTACCACTGGATTAATCTGGAATGGAAATGGAAAACCATGGTACTGTGATTTAGCAGATAGGGTTGCATAGTATTTTTAAATGTAACATGTTCCTTAGATAATAATTTGTCTTCTGGAAATATATTATGACTTTTTAAAAATTCTATTTTATAGGTGATCATAGATACGAAATCATTAAAAGGAGAGTTTTGCAAGGAAAATCTGTCCCCCATTATGCAGCAATAGAGCCAAGTGGAGATGGTCTAATGATTGTTTCCCACAAACCATTCACATTTATGCAAAGTGAAAGTGACAAATTAGAAGAAAATGATGATTCAAAAGTATCAAATGAAAAGAAAGGTAAGACTTAGTCTGACAGGTTATGATAATCTGCTCTCTTCTTTGACTTAGGACATATCATTGGTTTAGCATTTGTTTGGAAACTCTAACAATGAAAGTTTTAATATCTATCTTATGGACAGATTGATTTTGTTTGTTTGCTTTTACTTGTGGCAGTTTTATTGTGCATAAACCTATATCAGGTGCAATTTTTTGGACAGGAGACACTTAAAGAATTTTGTTGTCTTAAAGAAAAAGATATTTTGCAGACAGATGTATAATGAGTTTTTGATATTAGAAGGATTACTAATGCCTACATTTAGGCATCTATCTGAAGTACTCAAATTAAGAAACCAGTCTTCTTAGATGGGAGGGGGCCATGGACTTCCCCAAACTGTTACCCATCAGAAAGCTTTTTTGATATGTAATTTATTCCTGCCTCTCTAAAATTTAAATAATTATCTTGAAAACTCTTTTTAAAGAATGACATTCCTGTAAAAGATTCTGTTTGCTCTGGTGGGAACACCGTTCAGGAAATCTTCAACAAAATGCATTCATACTTTTTTTCTTTGCAATCAAAACAAAACTAAGTATGTAAAAACCTATTAATGGAGTTGTTTATTTCTAAGTATCACTAGGCTCTGTAATGTCTATGTTTATGTAATTATGTTGGATTATTTCATGTTTGATTTCTGTTTCTGCATATGAGGCATTGGTTAGTAAACAAATTCAAACAAATTCTCTAAGGATAGTGGCACAATCTTTTCTAATAGTGTGAAAATCTATTTGGAAAACAATACAAAAGGATCAAATTTCTGGAATGTGTTAATGTTAAACACTGACAACTGTGATATTGTACATGTAATTTTATTAAGAATAGTCTGTACATATAAATCTTGAGTCAAGGGAGTTCTTCAGAGCACTAAGCACCTTTTGCTAACCCTGATATAGGCTCCAGTTTTATTTGTACAGTTATATAAAATTGCAGGCTTAATGAATTTTTAATATCAGATACAGTTTGTGTCAGTGTTCACAATTTTGAAGGCTGTCATGTCTCAGTAATAGCTTCTGGGGAAGTATAATTAAAGCACCTGTGACTGATCCATTGCAAGCAGGGCAGTTGTAACAAAGGGCAGCAGTGCAAGAGTCCTTCCAGAGTCACAGTTGCTAGATGAGATTTTGATCAGTGGAATCTTGGGTTGGATTCTGACAACTTGAGAGCTTTCAAGGGGAGCCCATACTTTAGTTTTTCTCAAAATAGAAAGGTAACTTGTACAAGATTGCTCTTTAGAAAATATATTCATCTGTATTTGTATTTTCTGTGCATTACCCCTCACGTTGTCATAGCCTTCCTTTTATATAAACATTTATCTTAAAAGGCCGTTTCTTCTAGCAGTTTAGTAATCAGACAGCTTCTAAACACAGTAATAAAAGTTGGTCTCTACCTCTGGGCAAGCAGTTCTATTTCATCTCCATTAGCTGAGGCAGATTAAGACTACTTAGTCTTATAAAATAATTTCTGTTGAGTAGTCAGCATAGCTTCTGGCAAAATATATAAGAAAAAATGTTCACATCTCTGAATTATGTGTACTTCTAGCATGCAGTAGCTTGTCACAGAATCACAAGGTTGGATTAGACCTTCAAGATCATCAAGTCCCACCCAGCCCTAACACCTCAACTAGACCATGGCACCGAATGCCACATCCAGTCTTTTTTAAAATGCATCCAGGGATAGTGACTCCACCACATCCCTGGGCAGATAATTCCAGTACTTTATCACTCTTTCCATAATAAACTTTTTCCTAATATCCAACCTATATTTCCTTTGGCACAGCTTAAGACAGTGTCCTCTGATTATGTCAGCTGCTGCCTGGAGAAAGAGACCAACCCCCACCTGGCTACAGCCATCTTTCAGGGAGTTGTAGAGAGTGATAAGGTCACCTCTGAGTCTCCTTTTCTCCAGGCTAAACAGCCCCAGCTCCCTCAGTGGTTCCTACAGGGCTTGTGTTCCAAGTCCCTCACCAGCCTTGTTGCCTCCTCTGGATGCACTCAGGTGTCTCAGTATACTGCACCTGATGTCTCCTCAGCCACATTATTAATCATCAGTGTTTCATTGTATTTAAGTACGTTTTGCATTCCAATTTCATAATGCTACAGTAAGCTTAGAGTAACAATTTATGCCCATTGTATAATTATCAACAAATTTGAATATAGACATGAATATAAATTACTTTCCAAATGAGGGGTACAAACAGATTTGGTTACTAAAAAGGTGTTTCTCTGTTTAATGTTCAGAATATATTTTGTGTAAATTGTTCAGAGTAAAAGTTAACTTCCACTTTTTTAGAAACACACTTTCAGAAAATTCCATGTGTCTCTGCACTGAATGCTGTGGAATCCAGTAATCCTTGTAACCTAGTTTGTGTTTTGCTGCATGTTTCCAATTGTAGACCCCCTCTACTACTGGCAGCAGACGGAAGATGATGTGACCATAACAGTTCACCTGCCTCAAGACATCACAAGGGATGACATAAAAATACATTTTTCCCCTGATAATATATGTGTTACACTGAAAGACCAGCCTCCTTTGATGGAAGGAAAGCTCTATTCATCTGTGGACCATGAAAGCTGCACATGGATAATTAGAGAGGACAAAAGGTATTCTATATAAGTTTTAGGTTTTTTATTGATAGGAACTGATTTTAAAACGCATACCATATCTGACTTCTGGCCCTTCTGGGATGATCCCATTTAATGCTATACCCATGTCCCTTCTTGCAAGAATTTCTTTCTCCTGAAAACAGTTCACTGGCCTTTGCTGTCTCAGTACTATTTTTCTTTATCTAATTGTGAAAGTAATCCCTTCTTTGGCAGTTATTTTTCAGGAAAAAACCCCACCCAGTATGAAATGTTAAACATGGATTTGTAAGAAGAGTAAAGTTAATTGGTTCAACAATTTTTTTTCACTATATTTCAAGACTGATTAGTCTGAATGTACTTTGTTGTATGTGTTAGCTTCTCTTCTACTTTCTACAAACAAGCATTTTTGTAATAATACAACTGAAATTCTTTAGGCGTGACTTATAAATTCCTTAATATATTTTCCTAAAAAAATATATTATGTGAATTATAGAAAATTAATCTGTGTGAACTAATGCTGTAGACCTCAAATAGAAATGTTCCTGCTTTTATTTAAAAAGTAACTTTTAGGCTTTTCTAATTCTGAAAAAAAAAATGAAAGAATAGAGAGGGTGCAAAAAAATAATTCAGAGCTCCCTAAAACATATCTGGTTTTTCTTTGTGCATTGTCTGGTTTTCATACTCTGCCTGAAATGAGCCATATATTCACCCACCCGCGCTGGTCTGGTTGTCTCAGAGATATTCACACTCTTTAATGAACTCAAGAAGAAACATGTAAACCACCAGGTGATCCACTCAACAGCTCATAGCTGTTTATCTGAAACAAAAGCTACCCTTCGAGTTGTGATTAAGGTTGGCTTTTTGCAGTTTCCAAAAGGTTAACTGTAAAGGACAGTAATTCTCAAAAAAAAAAAAAATTAGAGGGACTAATATTTTTATGTAGGTTATAGAGGGACTAATATTAGAGGGACTAATATTTTTATATATGTTGTACTATTACTGTATATTAAAATTTGACTGTGATTAAAATGTGTGGGGTTGTTGGTTTTTAGGTATCCTGCTGAAAAATAACTCTAAATAACTTGATTCTTTATAAGTTGGATAGCTTGATTTTTTTATTACTCATTCCAGTGAGTGTTATTTTATGAATATCAGGTTTTTACTTCAATGAGAAAGGGTAATCCATACTTCAGTGTAATAAGTAGTACTCAGTTCTTAATGTTCATACTGCAACAGTGATATAAATCTGTTGATTAAAAGTTAAAAACTTGCTCCAAGTGTCTTCTGTAACAGAATGCTCTTCCTAGTACCAGTGAAATTGTTTCAGAGTTCACTGAATAGTTGCTCCTATGGTGCAGTAATTAGTAACTTAAAAGGTTTTCTGTCAGGAGCACTACAGCTGTCATTGCTGCAGAACCTGTAAGTGTATCTAAAAAGTGAGTATGATAAAATTGACTTCAGTTTTACCATTATATCTGTGTGTTTGTCCAACAGAGTATTTAAATGGAATTACCATGTTGGTGCATCAGGCTGTGTCTTATTTTTCATTTACTTAATTAGTTATTCCCAATAGTTTAGTGATTATACTGGGTTCTCTTTGTAGTTGTTGGGTTTTTTACTTGTTGTGGAAATCTGATCTCTTCTGAGATATTATTTTAGAAAGACAGTATAGATGATTAGTGAGGTATTATCCCTGAGGTCTATAAAATAAAAATCTTTTTTGTCCCAGATGTTATTTAGAGGTAGGGTACACTTAAGTAGCCCTAAGAAATACTGCTTATGTTTCAAATAAACCTGTGTAGTAAAATTCTGGCAGTCTTTGAATAGATTGCTGTACAAGTGATTTCCTGCCATATTTTAAATATTTTAGTGAGACTGCTTCAGGATAAATTACGCTTACATTGAAAACCCTGAGATTTGTGTATTAGAAATTACATCCTTGGTCTGTTTTTCTTAAGAATATTTTTGTTAGAATAATTTATTTTATAATTTGAATGCTAATGGTTTCTGCTATGTGACTTTCCTTATTAATTCAGTTTGAGGAGAAGTGCTCTTATGTACATTTAGAGCTTTTTGACTAATCTGACAAATGGATGTAGTGTTTTCGTGTGCTACTCTTTGTCTTCTCTTTGCATTTTAGTTTGGAAATCTCTCTGATGAAGAAAAATGAGGGATGTCGGTGGACAGAGCTAATCATTGGTGACACAAGAGGGGAATTCATTATGGACCCCTCCCAGTGCTCTGAAATAGCTGAAAGCCTGATGCATCTTACCTCTGAAGTAATGGTAAAGAGTCAAGAATCAAACACTTAAAATTCTTGTGCTTTTGCATGCTGTCTTTTCTTGCTGCCTAATTTGCACTTCATTGACTGAAGTCATCAGTTCTTTTACTGTTTATTCATTTTTAATTGAAACTGTAACAAACTACTGGCACTGGAGTTGTGAATGTACTTTGAACAGTAAAACCTTCAAGGGGGACTGAAAAAAAATCTTCAAGGGGGACTGAATTTAACTTGTATGATGGTGTCTGTGCACCAAACAGATGCCTGATTTAACACTGAAAATAAACTTTGTTCCCACCATTTAGGGTGTGGCAGTTTGTCTGTTTCTTGTTTGTCAATAAGTTAGCAAAACTTTTTTACTGTCTTGCTAAGGATACTGAACTCGACCTACAGAGTGTAAATGACATGTTTAAAAGGAAAAGTTAGGAAACTGTAAACATGGCTCATGAACTTTCTGGCATTTTTGTTATACAAGAAGGCTACTTAAAGTGAAAGGTAATTTTTAGCTGATATTTGCTTGATACTGTTTAATTAGAAAATGGCATCTCATCTGAAACCTGTGAATTGTGTCTCCCTGTGACTTTTGATGTATTAGGTTTGGATTATTACTTTGTTTTTAGTAAGGCTGAAAAGTGTTATTAAAACAAATTCTATGTAGTACTTCAGATTGACTTCTCTCTACCTCAGTATTTGTGAGCAAGATATTGTACTATATCTTTTGGCCTTGTTTTTTTTTACTTTAAATTTCTTTTATTGTGTACTTCACTTCCTACTGAGCTTAAAGTGATGACTTTTTAATCGTAAGTTTTCATTAATTTAAAATAGATTTTAATAAATTAAAATTAATAGCAAAACTAAAATGTGTCATGTGTTTAGAGCTGCTTATAAAATTAATTAATCCATTTTTAATTGCATTATTGATGGCAAGATGAAACAAGCTTACACTGATGTACATTTACTAATTGTGCATATGTTTTCAGGATTGTATGCTTTTGCTACTTGGAGAATTATTTGGAATAATTTGGAATTTGTCGTCCAGGTTTTAGTGACTTATGTACTTTCCTCAAACTGATATTGATTTTATTGTACCTACCACTTCTGCTGTCCTCCACAGCAGAAATCATTTTATTGATTTTGAGTAAATACATAATAGCTTAATCTTTCTGTTTGTATGGATATGCAAATAATTCTTCATGCTCAATTGTTCTTTAGGTTGTTTTTTTAATTGTAAAAGGGATTAATTTTTTTTTCAATTGTTTTGATTTTCAGTGTAGTTCATTCTTTTTTTCAGAATCCAAACCCTGATAAGGAAAAGCCACCTTGTAATGCTCAAGAGTTAGAAGAATGTGATGCTTTTCTTGAAGATGGTGCAAGCTTGTGCAGATTTGATGGTGATAGCTTGAAAATCACTCATATAGTAAGTACTGCAAATTATTATAGAAATACTTTAAAACTTTTTTTGTTTGTAAATTGACCTCTATTATCAGTACAAAAATATGTAGACTCGTGAAATCGCATAAATTTCTCCCATAATATCAAATCACAGTAGCAACAGAAAATGTCAATCTATATATGTCCTTCAATGTCATTTTAATATAAAAACAAAGCTCCTTTTGTTCTCATTAAAAAAATACATATGCTTTCACAAGTGAGCCATTTGAAAAAGCAAAGTCATATCAAAGGAATTATTAGGAAAAGGTCCTTTTCAGTGCCATAAAATTCTTTAGATTACTTTGTTTGCATTTTCCTCAGTAATTTTCGGACAGCCTGGTAGAAACCTGACCTTTTTTACTAAGAAGCTGGAGCATAGATCACTATATAGTACTTTTTTGTCAATCACACTGAAAATAACAGACTGGGGGCAGAATGCTTCATTAATGAGCTTAATCTGAGTTGTAAGCAGCCCTGACTAACAGTAAGCTAGGATATGATCCGGGCTGTTGCCTAGTGTTGGAAACACCAAAATCATATGAAAGCATTACAGATTACCTCGTTGTTCTGGGGTCTTTTGGGGTTTTTTTTGAAACTGGATGAAAGCAAAAACTACATCGTGGTTGTAGCATGGTTTGGGTTGCATAGTAAATTGTGCAGCCTCTGTCCTTGATATTTTCAAGACCAGACTGGATAAAGTTCTAACTAACTCAGCCTAAACTACTGCTTCTCACACTGAAGGGTAAGAAGTACCCCAGAGACATTTCACATACCAGGAGGAACATGAGCTCATCGCAAAAGGGGTGCTTTTGTGTATCACAAAAGGCTGCTTTCTAGCAGGCAGCAAGACATAGTGGAGCAAGTTTGAACTCCAGGGCGCTTGTAAAGAGTTTTTAAAATGGGTGGCATAAAAGTAATTCAAAGGTTAATGTGTTTAAAGCATTATGGTCAAAGGACAGTTGCTGTGGGTAGGAAATACTAATTTCAGCCTCTTCTATGGGAACTTGCAGTTTTGGTCCTTGTTAGAGTATGTAGAAATATGAGTGTTTCAGTATATTCTTCAGCATACAGGACTATATTTTCACTTAGATTTAGTTCTTCTTTCAAGCTGTTTGGGTTTAAAATTATGGGATCTTTTCCTTCGGAAATGGGGCTGGTACAGCTTTTTACCCACAACTCCTAAAAACATTTTTATTGAAGAGTGTGCTAACCTGAAATTTAGTAATTACTTGATTGCAAGTAAGTTAAAAAATGTTGATATTTCATCATTTTAGTATTCTAATTAATCCTTGTTTCAGTGCTTGCCAGCTTTTACTTGGGAGGGACAGTGTTTCCTTCCCTGTTAGCCCTGCAGAAAACCAGATGTGATTACTTAGAGAGAATCTTTTCTCTCCTATGTGAGAAGTTGTAGGTTAGGATCTATCCTAGAAAACCATTTCTGCACAAAACACATTGTCATTAGCTTGTGTAGTGGACATAATATTTCTCTGAATAATACTCCAACAAACTTAATTACATCTCCTTGAAATGTGTAAGGTACCTGTGGTGTATTGAGCTGTTGATCAGTGGGATGCAGCATAATGTGTTCAAACATTTTGTCAAGTAACAAACATAAAACTGTTGATCATCTAACTTTGGCAGTATGTGTAACAGTATGTGCTTTGAATCAATATTTTGTATTTGTTTTGTTTTCAGATTAATCTTGGAAGTAACCAGTATCTTTTCTCAGTCGTTGTGAATCCCAAAGAAATGCCATGCTTCTGCCTGAGGCATGATGTTGATGCTCTTCTCTGGCAGCCTCACTCTGACCAACCAGAGAATATGTGGGAGCACATTGCAACTTTTAATGCTTTGGGTAAGAAATTAACTTCTGTGTCACACATATCTGAGACTTTTCTATGTGAATGCTGCTGGTATGGCTTATGTTGATATTTCACTTTAGTAAATCTGAATTGAAAGTTTCTATAATTCTGTTGGTAGCTGCATGGTAGCTTGCTGCATATAGGTAAAACTTTATAGAAGAGAGGCCTTGTAAGACATGGCTTAGACCTTGCTGTTCTGGCTATGAGAAAAGAATCATAAGAATGAGAATCAGTTTGCATAACAATCTATTTTTGTAAGAAAAGAGTTTGTACCTGTGAAAACAAGAAGTCTATCCCATGAGAATCTGTGAAGGAAATATGTAAACTGTCTAGCAAGAGGGAGGTTTGGTGGAGATGTACACTGGCCATTTACTGACCAGTGAACTGAGTTCCAGTGGATTGTTAACTACTTGGAGGCAAACACAGTGCCTTCTGATAGCATGTATAAATGAGCTGTGTTCAAAAAAAATTCTGCTATTAGGCACAAAGAAAGAAGTGTCTCATTTCTATCTCTAACATGAGGTCAACAGCAACGGTAGCTTAATTTTAGAAATAAGAGAACATAGAAATGACATGTTTGTGCCCTGGGAGGAAGACAAGCCTTTTCAGACCATGTATAGAATGGAAGCACAGAACTGCATAGTAAAAAGGAGAGTTCCTTGGATAAGTGACTTAAGTTAGAGACTGAAAAGCAAAATCACTACCTTAACACTCACACAGACATTGTCAGGGCAATAGCTGCAGTTAATTGATCATGTGTCTAGGTCTGTGTAATCTTATGGTAAGGTGTTTTAATAAGTGACCTTTAGACTTTTCCTGTCTTGTTGACCCATGTGATAATCATTGGCTTACATTTTTCAATGGAAGTGAAGCAAATAACTTCCCTAACAGGGAAGGAAATACTTGCAGAAAGATGGTAGATCACTTTGCAGAATTGCATCTCAGTTCTCTTTATAGAAGTGTGAAAGGAAATCAGTCTGAATTGAGTCAATTTGATACCAGAATCCTGTAATGAAAATGGAAAAGGGAGGTTTTGGTTTGTTTTTTTTTTTTCTGAGTGAATATTAACAGAAATTGCAGTATGTTAAAAAGTAGGTTTTTTTTTAGTGAGTTCTAAATCGAAGACAGATTTTAGGTGTCTGTTCTAGATTAGATAGGCTCAGAAATCCTAATTTTTAAATTTAATTACACACTGGGAGATGAGGAGAGAGAAGAGATTTATTCTATGTAGACCACTAATATTGGGCCAGGATTACCCATATGGACCATGTCTGTGGCCTTATGATCCTGCTGAGAAAATGAAAGACCTTGTGAGGCAGAGAGGAGCCAGATGTGGGAAGAGTATCTTGCTGTGCATATGTATCCAAAACACCTGTTAACATGAGGTACATGGGAATTGTATATTGGTGTTAAACTGCTTAATGCATCCCTTCAGAAAGTACTGGCTGATGTAATAAGAGTAGTTTGGTGGTTTGGGGTTTTTTCTGTTGATGTTAGCTTTTATTGGTTGGTTGTTCTTGTTGTTTGTTTTCAGGGTTTTTTTTGTTACAAATTGCGTATTATTTTTTAAGTTAAGCTTCGGTTTTTATCAGCCAGTTAAAGTTCTGTTGAAACCGATCTATTCCTTATCCCTTCTACTTGGTTTTGGGCTATACAGGTTATGTCCAAGCATCAAAGCAAGACAAGAAGTTCATGGCTTGTGCTCCAGATTACTCCTACGCTGCTCTTTGCGAGTGCTTGCGAAGAGTTTTCATCTATCGCCAGCCGACTCCTCTGGCCACGGTTCTCTACAACAGGAAGGAAGGAAGACAAGTGGGACAGGTTGCTAAGCAGCTGGTAGCAACCCTAGAAGCCAATGATCCTATCTTAGGCTTTCAAGCTACGAGTGAGAGATTATTTGTTCTCACAACAAAAACCTTGTTTTTAATAAAGGTGAACTCTGGAAATTAATTATTCAGTGTGCTCTGCTGTAGTTTGTGTTAACAATTTGTTATAGAAGTGAATAAGTTGACGATCTGACAAGGTCAGTGCAATTTGCTGAAAATGACAAAGGGGATGTTTTACAGGGGAATCAAATTTCTTCATTAGAATTTTTCTGTAAGAAAGTGAGTTTTTGACTTTGCTGCCCTGGAAGTAAGTTTTTTCAGAGCTATGGGAAAATGTCTTCTGCATTAACATCTTTGTCAAAGTAATTGTCAGATGCTGCTATTGCATAGGTGAATAGATTTATGCATTGCTTTTTCCAAGTGACTTTATTTGCTATACTTCTGAGTTTTGAGAATTGACTGCTGTTTTTAAATGTCACTGCTTACCTATGAAAAAAGTAGTCAGATAAAGATTTAAAAGCATATGATATGCCAAGTAGAATGTATTATAAAGGAAAAAATCTCCAGTTCAAATACGGTTGACCAAAAAACTTTTGATATTTGATTTGATATTTTGACATTCAGTAGTTTTGAGTGGAATGTGAGAGAAATGAGAGAAATTAATGGGGTATTATGTTTCTTATACAGGTAATAAAATGAAGCAAATTTACTGTATGTGCACATTTTAAATTATTGTTTTGGGACTTGTTTATACTTGCAGTAAAGTCTGTTCACATTTCTAGAATACATTTTAATAGCTTCTTCCAGAAGCAAAGTAAGGGTCAGTACATAGCTGGCAGTGATACATCGAGTGCTGTTAGTTAAGGCCTTGTCATACTCTCAGTTGTGCCATTTTCACTTGACTTTATACTTCATTTCAAGTGACTCATTTACAATGAGAAAATAGAAAATGGCTGACAGAAAAAGTGCTGGTCTTGTAGCCTGGGATGGGACACTCAGAGGTGCTGCTTCTGCCTCAGATGCCACTGTAAATGCTGCATTGTCACTTAACTGTTCTGTCTGTGATGCCTAAGTCAAAACATGTTATATATGCAATGTAAGAATTTGCAATTTGCTCAGGCCAATGAGGATGCATTGGTTTAACAGACTGGTATGGTTAGTTGTGTTCGATTCCCGGCTGTTTGGATGGCCTGGAAAGGCCCGGGGTGGCCTTGGGGCAGCCCGCATTTCAAAGGACGAGAAGAGGCTTCAAATCTTTTCTCGGTCTCTGTGTTTATTAATTGCTTATCTAAAAGATTTTCTTTCGGC